ACCGTGATACTGGTAGCGTAGCCCGACGTTAAGAAAGTGGACGGAAGAAAACATCAGCAGAAATGGTTCGAAAAGTAAAGAAGCGACTTGATCGAAACCCGCGTCGAACTGGCCGAAAAATGGCTCGTGAGCTGAACATATCGCAATATTCCATTCTGCAAATATTGAAAAATGAGCTCGAGGTATAGCCATTGAAATTCCAAAAAGTGCAAGAACTTACACCGCAACAGAAAGAAAATATACTCAAAAGAGCTAAAGAGTTGCTTCGCTTGTGCGAAAGTGGTGAACTACCGAATTTTGTTTTCTCTGATGAGAAAACATTCGTTGTCCAGCAGTTTTTAAACAAATAAAATGATCGTGTTTACTTGCCAAAGAGGTCAGCTGAAAATGTGCACCTTCGGTTGGTCACCAGAACTCAAGCGCCGGCCATGATGATGGTGTGGACCGCCATAACAGTCAATGGTCGCTCTCCGCTCGTATTAATTGACCGGGGCATTGGAATAAATGCCGAATATTATCGCGAAAAGGACTCAGCACCATCGCACTCAGCACGCGCCACCCAAGAATGGTTACAAAATGAGGTTCCTCCCAGCACACAATGGCCACCGAAATCGACCACCGGATACCAATCCGTTGAACTATTGTGTCTGATGTATTTTGGAAAGCAAGGTTGGCACTGAAAATACTCAAGTGTCGATCACCTCAAAGAAGCGCTTCGCCGGGAATGGGCCAAAATACCGCAGAGCAACATTTGGGCAGCGTGTGACGGTTTCATTGGCCATTTGAAGGCCATAATTCGTGCCAAAGGTGAGCAATTCGAACGAATATAAACGTTTTCTAAAATTTAATGCTATTTCGACATTTTTTGCTTTCATTCAATAAAACTTAAAAAAAATTAAAAATTATGGCATTTGACTTTGTTAAACCTATCCAAAAACCAATAATTATTTGTTATTTACTTTAACATAAGTGAGTCTCTTAGATCAAGTTTCTTGGAATCAGTGGCATATGACCATCCACTTTGGTGGAAATTTACAAAAATTTCTACGACAAAATTCTTTGCTTGCTTTATACAGTTTCGCATCACAAATTCTATAATTTCATTGACCCTGTTTTGACGTATTCAAATGTTTCCTAAAACATATTGAAATAAGAAAAAAAAAACTATAAACAAATTAGTTCTTTGTTTTAAAACATTATGACGCATTAAACTTTATTATTATTTTAAATATAGAAACAAATGAAATCAAGTTGTTAATTGAGCCAAAACCAAAAATGACCGGCCAAAATCGGGTAGGTCGCTTGGTCGACACATGGAATTTTGCCATCATCATTGACGAACTGAAAGGTTTACAATGCGTTAATTGATACCACAACTCGTGTATGCACCGTAGATTGTTGAGTTGTAAAATTATCTTTGATGCTGTACTGGCTGACAAGGATCGCGTGATACAACCAGTCTGAGGTGGGTAGGTGATAATTTTCATTTATTAACACTTTTTCAAAAAATTAAAATTTCCAAAACAAAAATTATAAATCAAAAAATTATTCGATTTTCGAAATCCTGATTTCGGCTATGTTTGATTAATTATAAGTGAAATGAAACACAATTAATTTATAAATCTTAAAGTAATATACTCTAAAATGTCATGGCAATTTGCTGAACTAGGTGATGGGATTTTCGCTGATTTTGGGAAGTACCGTCAGCGAATATTTCACACTTTTTTTTAATAATAATATTGGGTAACATTGAAATGAACTGGGAACTTTTTCAAAACTCAAAATGAAATATACTAAAAATTCCAATGGAGGTCTTCTCTTAGAATACTACAATTGTACGTTTTTATAGAGTAGAGCTGGAGATATACGACATCTATGACCATTGAAAAGTGTTGTTGTTTAAGAGTCCATTAGCAATTATTTCACACTTTTTGATGATAACACTGGACAACTTTGAAATTAATTGCGTACTTTTTCGAAGTACTAATTGAAGTTACTAAAAATTTCAATGGAGGTCTTCTCGTAGAGGAGACTAAAATATTTTTTATTTTTATTGAAAAGCAATGGAGATATGAGAACTTGACCCCTCTATTTAGTTAACTTTTCGCTGTAAACTTTCAAAACGTCTATAAATGTATATTCTGCACATTAGGAAACCTCTTGAGGTGTCCATGGACTAGCAAGTGTCCGCTATTTCGCCAACGAAAAGTCCGCACTAAAATTTAAATTCGTTCCTACTGGGTGAGATAAAACAAAACTGCAACAAAGTCAACGTCATATTTTTACATTTTTATTTTAAATTTTATTGAATGTAAGCAAAAAATGTCGGAAATAACATAAAATTTTAGATTAAGTTTAGATTTGTTCGAATTGGTCACCTTTGGCATAAATTATGGCCTTCAAACGGCCAATGAAACCGTCACCCGCTGCCCGAATTTTGCTCTGCGATATTTTGGCCCATTCCCGGCGAAGCGCTTGCTTGAGGTGATCGACACTTTGATATTTTCTAGTGCCAACCTTTCTTTCCAAAATACTCCAGACACAATAGACCAACGGATTGGTATCCAGAGATTTTGGTGGCCATTGTGGGCTGGAAATGAAGCGACGGACCTCATTTTGTAACCATTCTTGGGTGGCGCGTTCTGAGTGCGATGGTGCTGAGTCCTGTTGGAATGTCCAAGGCCAAAATGTTTGCCTGCCCAAGGCTTTAATACACCCTCCAGAATATTTTCTCTATAATATTCGGCATTTATTCTGATGCCACGCTCAATTAATACGAGCGGAGAGCGACCATCACCATAGCCGGCGCTTGAGTTCTGGTGGCCAACCGAAGGTGCACATTTTCAGCTGACCTCTTAGGCAATTAAACCCGATCATTTTGTTCTTTTACAAACTGCTGGACAACGAATATTTTCTCATCGGAGAAATCCAAATTCGGCAGTCCACCACTTTCGACCAAACGAAGCAACTCTTTAGCTCTTTTGAGTCTATTTTCTTTCTGTTGCGGTGTAAGTTCATGCACTTTTTGAATTCATCAATTGATTTACCCCGAGTTCATTTTTCAATATTTGCCGAATGAAATATTGGGATATGTTCAGCTCACAAGCCATTTATCGGCCACCGCGACGCGGATCTCGATCAAGTCGCTTCTTTAAATCCTGGAGTGCTCTAACGATAGCCACTTGTGGGTTTACAGCCAAATATAAAGAAATCGCACTAACACGCTTGAATTCCATCACGAATAACTTTTTTTCTGGAAAATTCTCACCGAAAGGCTTTTGTACGCTTGTAAACAATATAATGAGCTGTCACTGGAATAATTTTAACAGCGGTCGGACGAGTGGCCTAGAAATGACAGCTCACCCTGCATTTCCAAAACTACATTCGTGTCTTAACCACAGACACCAACAGTGACATTTATATCAAATTTCAGGATTTCAGTTCTATTCCTTCAACGAATGCCAAGTTTAGTATTACTTGGTAATTTTCTTACATTTATAGTACACATTTTCAAAACTACCTCCATATCTCACTTCCAGATACCAACAGAGATCTCGATATCAAATTTGAGGATTCCAGCCCCATCCCTTCGCCCAATTCCAAACTTAGTTCCCTTTAGTACTTTTCGTACAAATATGGGACACATTTCCAAACCACCGCCAATTCTCAAACGCAAATATCATCACTAATCTAAATATTAAATTTCAGAATTCTATCTCCATCCCTTTACCCAATACTAGATTTAGTACCATTCAGTACTTTTCGTATAATTATAGTACACATTTCCAAAACCCCCTTCATATGTCCAGGCTACACATGAACAGCCAGCCCAATACCAAAATTTTCGATTTCAATCACTATCTATTCACTCAACACCAAATTGTCCCAAATAAAGCACTATTTAGTACTTGTAGTGCACATTTCCAGAAACCAACCTCCAACAGGCACCCCAAAACAACATTTCAAATTTCCCGCTACATCTGTTCACCCTACACCAAACTGTTTCAAATTTATATATCAAATATATCATACATATATCAAACAACTTTCCAACCTTGATTATCATAGCAAATTTCAAGTCTCTATCATTTAACATCATCCAAGTTGTAACATTTTAGAGGTTTGGAACCATTTTAAAAATTTTTATAATTATCGAATTTCAAAAAAAAAAAAAAAAAAAAAGGATTGGTACATCTATCCTGCACTCCATCAGTAACCCTGACTCCAAATTTCAACTCATTCCGTTTGTCTAATGCAAGTTATTCGATTTTTAGTACACTTTAGTACCCTTTTAGTACGAATCTCCAAAAACGCAGCCCTTTCCCACCCCTACGTACCAAGACTGACCCTCGTGCAAAATTTCAAGATTCTAGCTTCAGCCGTTTCATCTAGTCATTGATTCTCAATCAGTCATTGAGGGTCCACCACTAGGGGCCTTCTAATATCAACAAGCACTAGTGGCCTTCTAATGTAGAACACCATTGGAGGTATTTTCATACAGAAAACCACTAGAAGCATTTTTATATAGAAGATCATTAGAGGTCTTCTTATGTCGAAGACTTTTTGAGCCATTTATTTATAAAGAACTCTAGAATATAGAAAACTGATATTTATATAGAAAACCATTGGGGTTTTCTTATATGGTATACTGGTCATGTAGGTAACCACTAGAGATTTTCTTATAAAGGAGACCACTAGATTACTTCATATTTTAAAACCAACTAGATATCATTTTATAAAAACAGACTCCTTCTATAGAGGACTCTTACATTGATTATTATACACAATGCAGCAAGAGGTATCTTTATATGGAATACAACTACATGTCTTCTTATGTAGGAAGTCATTATGGGGCTTACTTTACAGAAGACTACTAGAGATCTAAAATAGAAGAAGTAATCTTGGGGTCTTCCTGTATAGAAGACAACTAGGGATCTTATATGGAATTGTACTCTTCCCTTTGTAGAACATTTATATATATCACACTTACTACACAACTCTTTGCTTAAATTAATGCTACATTAATTAACTTGATTTATTTAGAAAATCTTATATTAAATACATGGTATTTGTCTTTGTCTACATCATCAATTCGTTACTGTCATAATTATTATCATTAGTAATAAGTAATGCCATAGTCCATTTCCAAGCCAATAGTGTGTTTTCCTATGAAACCATTACTCCACAAAACTTAAATTATCTTCTTACTTTAATATAGTATGTATATCTAACCATCATCATCCACATGATCAATTTATTCGTATGTATTCCAAGTCCAACCATAAATGAATTTCTTCTTTCATCTCGGTGGCTCTTTGTAATTAATAATGTTAACAATTCGAATAGACCTCTTTGCCAGGTTTTTTTTTTAGTTGAATTCGCCGCTCTTGCCATCACATGCCACAATCTTCACCTTATTCACTTTGGCAAATTCGTGGACTTCACGGAATTCCACTTCGTTCAACATCAGTGTCCATACATTGTCGCAGAAACGATAGGTGTTCAGTTTGCTGGCTTTAAATGTAACACGAGCCTTGACACGCTGACTGAGCGCATTGTTGATGCATTTGTCAAATTGCAGCAGGACCTTAAATGCCAATGCGGGTGTAATTTGTCCATACTGAAAGTAAGGTAGATAGGTTTAAATCAATGGCCCAATGGCCCAAAGGATAACAATCAAAATCGCTTTATGTGCAGACCCCAAGCTGAGAAAATTTCACAGATTCAATCAATAATTGCATATGCATGAATATTTAAAATGCAAAGGTTCTATGAACTTTTCTGCCTGGGCAACATAAAGTAAATTTCTTACCTGGATTAATTCGTCCAAACTTTCTTGCAGGGTATTGCCCAGTGTGGTATTACGATACAATTGATAGGACATATTTGTGCTAATTTGTTAGATTTTAATGGAAATAAAACAAAAAAATTGGAAACTATCAACCAATTGTAGCTGTGTCCAGACAACGAAGCGGCACAATTATTTTCGTCGGCGCCGACTGTCATGTGTAAGCTAGGGATTCGTAGGTCGACTTTTGAATAATAGCCTTTTGGCACTGAAATGTATAGTCTTAGTAATCGAAATTTGATTTTAAGATCATAGATTTTGGGTCCAGAGTTAAATTAGCAACTGTTGTGTTTCAGAAACTATGTTAGGCGACTTTTCCTTTATAAAATAAAAAAAAAAAACAAAATTTCTAGACTTTAGCTTAGCTACGTTGCTAACTATCGATAACATTGATCTTTCACAAACTACAGGGTGATTCAAAACAGATTAATTTATAATAAAATACATTTATTCAATTTTGCGACGCGTTTTTCGTTTGGCTAAGCGGCTCATCAGGCATATTTGGTGTGTATGACGGCTTACAAGGGCCGTTCTCTGGAAAGTTATATTTATTTCGAACTTATTGCGTTTAAGCATATGAGAATTAAAACCACCCTCGACAAACCCTCGACGTGCAACTCAAGTTCTATTAGCAATTCTTTTTCACAGCAAAGTTTGGTTTTGTACTGATGTATTTTTCGTCCAAATGAACGTAGAGGAACAACGGAGTGAGGTTAAGGTTGACTTAGTTCGATTTTGACCTTACACTCATTTGTTCTTTTCCGAAGAAGCCTGCCAAAAAAGTGTGATATGTATTCTCACCTTTACTATGGACATATTGAGAGACGAGTTCGGTGAATATTTTTGATTTGTTCCAGATATAATGTATAAAGAATATAATGTATAAATGTTTATTGCAATAACCGATTTTTATTTATGATATCGAAAATTTCAGAAAAAACTAGTAGGTATTTGCATTCTTCTAAATTCTTCTCCCGTGGAGATGTTGGCTTGTGTTCTGAAACACCGCCAGGACACAACTTTTATCCTTTACAGCGTGAATTTCATGTATTCTCACTGTAAAGGTGAGAATACATAAAAGGCTTTTTTGACATCGGCTAACTTCTTCAGAATAGAACAAAGGAGCGTAGGGCGTAGAAAATATTAGTTTTGCAATTTTCTTAGATATCACAAAGGGTTATCGTAATAAAGCTTTTTCATTCTTGCAGTTCTGGAAGAGACCAAAAGTGTAAACAAATTTGACATTACATCTGGTTTTTAAAGTCTGGGGCTGGATTCTTGTTCTATGAAAATATAAATATTTCATTTATTTGAAAAATATTTCATTTATAAAATTTTTCATTCAACATTTCTTTCCTTTATAAATTTTTTCATTTCACATTTTCATAGAACAAGAATTGAGGCCCTGGTCTGTCAGCCTAGCACCTTTCATTGACGGCACTGCGCAAATAATAATAATCCAAAGGTAGGAACCAGTTTTTTATTCACCGAACCGACATTTGACAAGGTAAATTAGAGAATATGCAGTGAAGTCTTATTTGAAATGACCATACCTTCTTAATTTTACCATGGTCGGAATATTTCCCAGCGTTTGCTCGGCGGAAGGATAAAATTATTATCTGTCAAATCAGGCATGAGCTAAGTGTTACCATTCACGAAATAAGCTTTAGTTTAAAAAGAAAATGTTTTATGGCGCAACCTGTATTAAGTTTTATTGAGAAAAAAATGGTACATGTATAACTTTTCGCCCTATGTGTAAATTTTTTGCCCTCCGTCTTTAATATGTATTTTCCCCAGTGACAAAATGGCAACACTGTATCAAAGACTTTAGTAAGGGGATCACATGCTTTGAATTGTTTGTTAGAGCGAGTCGACTTTCGATTAATCGATTCTTGTGAGTAAAAGTCCAAATCGCAAAGTCGACGTTTTGTAATCGATTTTCGATTTTGAAACCATAGCTCTTTGTCGACATTGACATTTCATATTATTTCATGTCGTCAATAAGTGAAAACCGAAAGCGGAAAAGTGAAAAAGTTACCGAAAAGCAAAAAGAGTGTTAAAGTAAAGCTTCAAAATTAAAAAAATAGAAAAAAATTAAATGAAAATAAAAAGGCATTAATTGGTGGAGTGCAAACAAAAAAAAAGCGGGCCGAAATGTTCTAAAGTAAATGGAAAGAAAAAATGTTTGAGAAAATTTCAAAAAACAGACGGAACGAAAAAGTTGATGTACCTTAATATAAAAAATTCTAGTTTCCTATTTCCCTTCGTTTTTTTTTCTTCTTCGAAGATATGATGGTGAAGATTTTGCATTGCACTGAGGAGTTATAAAAGGAAATTTGTGAAAAAACGTATTGATATGAAGGGAAAATGGAAATAATGAAAAAAAAATATATATAAATGAATTTATGAAATTAAATGGAATGAAATAATATTTGTTAAACGTGTAAATTGAAAAAAAAAAAATCATTGAATGTCAAAAAGAAATTTTATTTGTGCTGTATAATCAATGGTTGTGTCTAGCAAATGCACTTCGGCCAAAAAAAAAAATGCATCGAAAATTCCCTTTTAAAGAAAATATCGTAGAAGAAAATTGCCGTGATTTTTGTTCTGCTGGAAATGCAATGCAAATTAAAACAAAATATTAATGCAATTAGTTGTGTTTTGTGTGTGTGTAATGATAAAACTAAAAAGCAAAAAAACTTAACATTTAAATGTGAATTTATCTTTGCATGCTATGCTGTTGTTTTTGTTATCGTCATCGTCCGTCGCCGCCGTCATTTGCTGCAGTGAAAAAAGCAGCCACCATTACCACCAACCATCCATCCAACCAGCCAAGTTCTAACAAAGGGAAAATTGGAACGCAAATTGTGAATTGTTGTTGTTGCTGCAGTATTTTTTCCAATGAGAAGACTACTTGCACGCATACATCAAGCCAGTCAGTCAGCCAGCCAGCCGAGCCGTCGTGTGGAGGAGATACATACAGATGTACATACACATAGATGGCTGGATGGTTGTTATGTTGTTGTTGGGGTTTTTTTCTTATTTCATATTCCATTCCTTTTTTAAGTTCTTTGTTTTTGCTGTTGTTGTTGGTGTTTGGTTGCCTTCGTCCGTTGTTGTTTTATTGTTGCTGCTGGTTGGGGGTGAATGTAAGTTGAGTGTGTGTGTATGTATATGTTGAATGTCCATTGAGGGGGGCGGTGTGGGAGGTGGTGGTGGCGGAGGCAACGAAGACGAAGGCGTTTGAAATCAATGATTGTTCATTCATTAGTCTGGCTTTGGCATGATTAAGCCTCGATTAAAAACTTCAATAGCAAAAACTCTCACATTTTTCTGTATTTCTCTCTCTCTCACACACTATGCCGCATACTCCCACTCTAATACACTTGTTCATTTCAAATTGTTTGTTTTTTGGAGAGCCAGTCGAGGAGAAAAACGTAAACATAGTCGGGCATGCAGCAAGCAAGGGAGGGAGAGAGGTAGACTCATCATTTGGATATTGCAAAAAGCAACAACAACAAAAACAAACAATCCAATTGAAGACAACAACATTATTTATTATCACATCTAGATCTAAACAACAAAAACAATAATTCTAGAAAGTCAAAACAATTTGAAATTTTCTTTGTTTAATCGTCTGAGATTGCTTCTCCGAATTAAATGTAGCTGTAATTGTTGTTGTTTTCGCCCCTGCAGTAGTTTCTCATCTAGGAACGAAATTAGTAATTGGGGAATATATAAAAAGAGAGAAAGAGGTGTTTCAAATTAGAAGATGATTTGATTTCCAATAAACCAATAATTGCTCTGTTCCAGATCTGCAAGAAACTAAATAGAGTACATTTTTTAAAAAAGGATACCAAAAGAAACTTTTGGAGGCTCAATTAAAAAATATATATGTCTGGTTACTTTTTCTCTTTTGCATGCAGAGAAAAGTACAACCATGCAAAAACTTGCAAGCATTCAGCTGACTTGTCAAAACAAAACATTTTGTGCGCCATAAAAGAAAGAAATCAAGCTAAATTTTTATATTTGATTAAAATGTAAAAAAAGGAGACAAAAACAAGAATTGCCACATTGTTCCCAAAAAAAAAAAGAAAAAAAAAATAGGCCTGCGAATACCTAAAAAAAACCGGATAACTAATAACAAAGAAAGAAAAGTTGCAAAAAATCTCAGTAAAAGAACTGTCAACTTGTTGTAGCGGCAATTTATGTAGTCTTTATAGATCCCAATTTAGGAAATCATCTACTTTTATGAGCTGCAGCTAAAGATCCTCTGGAATTAGTGGGTAGGTTTGGCAGAGCAACTAAATAGTATCATATGACTACCCTGTTTTTAGTTGCAGGTGGTGAACCCCAATAACGGATTCATACTGTAGTGGTTGACCACATCAATATAAATTCTATTCAGACCTTCCTAATAGGCTTCTTGATCTGGGGACTCTCTCTTATAACGTTTGTCCTCCCTCTTTCTTTGGATCAATGCAGTTCCGTTCTGACACGCCTGATTGGGGGAGTTCTCTCCACCATATAATGGTTTGCATGACTTGACACGGTAATCCCAACCATGTAAATGGTCCTCTGAAGTCATGAGGAAACAATTTGTTGCAGTTCTTAGGTCAGCATTCTGGCAGGTCTGGATGCTCTTCCATTGCGTAGCACTTATATATTCGCAGACCACACTGGAGCCGTATAATTAACCACAGACCACTGTCATATAAGAGGTCAACCAGGTCTCCTTATCAACCGGCCAGAGCCTTGAGGATCTTGTTCTACTTGTAAATTTATCACAATTTCATAGCTGTGCCTTGGGCGGACAACTGGAACATATACTGTCGAATGTGATCCCAATGATTTTGACGAGTTAGTGGTCGGAATTATATTTCTCTCGACTTGTATATTCAGCTCTGTTCTCGTCTCTGCAGGCTATATGGTAAAGATTTAATGGTGGATATTTTCATATCCCTTGCGTGGAAGTAGGTAGCGAAATAGATGCTCAGTCCTACACATATGTCATCAGCACTGGGGCCGTCGCCATGATCGTACAATCATCCGCATATTTGACGATCTCCAAGCCATATAGTGGGCGAGGCATTTTGGAAAGGTAGAGGTAAAGCCTTTCTGAAGATATGACCTTACCTTGGTACCTCCCTATTTCACTCTATAGGGTTTGGATTTTTTGTTTTACGTACGACTGTCGTCAGCACATATAATTAATTATCCAACATTTCAAACTTGGCCGGAGGGTATTTTTTCAACATCCTCAAACAGTGTGGTGTGGTTGAATGTATCAATTGTCAACCAACACTGTTCTATGGCACGATCTGTTCTGGTTTAACCCTCGATTGATATCTGTGGATATGGCGTGCGATGCTGCTGTGGTATTTTGTTGTGAAAGGAATCCGTGTTCATGTTTGGCAACTGAATAGCAACCTCTAATGCTGGGGAGTAGTAAAGCCTGAAGAGTGTTTGCAACTGGCGAAAAAAACGTAATTGGCGTAATTGGTAAGATGCACCTTTGCTGTAATCTTTGCCTGGCTTCAATACTTAAGTAAACCGACCCAATTACCACGCTTCGGGAATAATGTGGTTGGCTAACAACAGATTGAGGACTTTTTTTGAGATACTCAACTCCAGGCGTATTCAGCTGTTTCGATATTATCATAAGCGATTTAAATAACCAGCACATAGCTTCGGATCATACACTTTTAAGTCGGTTAAGTGACAAAGGATCATCCATTTTACCCAAATCCACTTTTTTCTTTCATGCTTCGTACGAACCGGATAACCTTTACTGTTAATTCACTCACTCTGGTATCAGTAGGGTTGGAACTACTTACTATGCTCATTTGCCGGACCCATTGTCTCTGCTGGGAAAATTGGTTACTATTTCGAGTATTCGACCAGCTGCAGCTATGATGACGATTTGAAAGATCTCTTCAACTAATCGAACATCCGAAGGTTGTGGCGGACTTCTAAGGAGAAACTTGACGAACTCTCCGAATTCTGGCCAGTGGGCTTTCCCTTGGTGAAGTTTGGCGCTCAGAGTTTATGAAATCGAGTTACCCGCATATGGGGATGCATATGAGATGGTGGTTGGACACAAGAAAAATAACTAAGTGGGCCAGTCGCATTACTTATCAAATCAGGCGACACTATAGTTAAGTTTAAATCGATTTAGCCTATATTTGAGTGATTTTTGTTTATAGTTGGAACTTGATCGTGTGCCCCATAACTCAATCTTACTGGACAAATGTAGCATGATTGGGGCAAAATTACCATAATCATAGAAGGCAGATATATATATGGAAGGTATAACTAAATATGAACCGATTTCGAGAACACTTTTCTAAATTGTATCTGATATCTTGCAGCGAATTTAATTGCAGAGACGTTAGGTTTAGTAAGCTTATTGGTCCATTGTGTTCATCCTACTTTATGGAAGAAGAATAAAATAATAAAAGAGAAGGAAGCGAACATTGAAGAGGAAGTGTGTATATAGATAGGAATAGATAAGATAGTAGGATTGTATCCACGGTGTAATCAGCGTGTCGTCCTTTCCCATTTTAGTCTTCTGGCTAACTGAAGAATGACCGCTAGCTCGGTTTCGGAGAGGGAGAACAAGTCGGGCAGAATTTTCTTACCTAGTAGCGTCTGTCTCATTCCGATAAGAGTCGGACAGTGGCAGAGTCTCAGTTTCCTCCTAGTCCTGACAAAGCCTGCGGTATCGTCACCCTCCACTTTGAAGTCATAGCCCTTATGTTGCAGTGTCCTGTAATTAGGCCCTCCACAAGGTTTAAGTCCGACTTCGTCATGGATATGAGTGACCTTAATTTCCATTCGGAGTTCACCGGCCAAATCTTTTTGGAGACATTACATCCCCTTCCAGCTATCCAGTTCTGTTGAAATCTCCCAAGATAATGTTTATGCAGTATTTGGGAGAAGTGGCATAAAGGAAGCTTCACTGAGCTCTCAATCTCTAGATCTACTGACTCAGATCCGCGTCTGGCAAATTAATTTCCTGATATTTTGGGGTCCAACAGAGTTTGACAAACGACTTAACATTTTCCAGAGCATTCCTGCAATCCAGAATTGTCATAGATTTGATTGTAAAAGGATTAAGAGCCTTCAGGGCCGCTTGACTATCGACATATATAGTCACCGGTCCATCCAGCTCATTGATTCTGTTTGCCAGCAGCTCTATGGCCTTCCTGAAAGCAAAGATTTCTGGCCCCAACTCTCTTCCCCTTTACATCTTTGACCCATACACCACTGCGGTGGTGAGTTTTGCTAATAATGGCCTCAAACTAAAGTTATTCTCTATCAAGACTAATAAAATTGAGTCATTGCAATATTATGGGAAATGAAATGTCCGATGGGCTACAGCGAAAGGGTTTTTCATTCCCCCCAGGATAAACACAGAGGATAAAATTGATCCACCACCCTTTTTTATTAACCAGTTCTACCACGTCTTCAGCAGAAAAGTAAAAAGTCTTCTCTTAATAAATACTTTGAAGAATGTTTTTTTCGATTCAGAGCAAACTTCTTTGAAATTTTTCCATTAATGGAAGATCTTAAAATTTTCTGTTTGCACAGAAAATGAAAGAAGAGCGATAAATAAAATGTAACAAAAAATTACATAACTCTCATGTATGGAGTTCGGAATCCAGTTTCTTGCTCCCCCTCGCATTTGTGTGCTCTCTACACCAATTTGTCTTGGTTTATTATTTTTCTAATAAGATTTTAATGTTTTGGCTATGCTTTGTTATCAAATGACTGTCTGGCTGTATCACTCTTCCTCTGTGCATGCCATACATGCATGGTTTTGTATGGGTGGGTGTGTGTGTGTGTGTACATGGGTGCATTTAGGTGGCTCAACTCTCGGTGAACTGGTGGATGATGGATGAATTGATGATGGTTTTCGAAAAGAAAAAAAAAAATCACATATTAATACAAATTACCATTTAAAACAATAAAATCATGGAACAGATGAGAAAGACAAATAAAAAAGAACAGACGTAAAAATAAACTTCAAAAAATCTTGCCTTCAACATTTATTTGTCTGTTTGTCTTCCCGCTCTCCCAAAAAAAAGTGAAAAGTGTAAATGGAAAAAATCAACAAGAAAAATTTATCATTGTTTCTATTTTTATTTATTTGTTTTTGTTTTATTTTTTTTTTTTTTCGAAATGCAGTCAGCCAGCCAGTCAGCATTATCATTAGCAGATCAGAGTCAGCCAGTGTGTTCTCTACTTAAGAAAGAAAGAAAAAAAAAGGAAATAAACCAACACGACCAGCAAGCAAGCAAGCTAGCTGCTAATACACAAAAGAGATCTTCTCCCCATTTCCACAATTGTCTTGAAGTTTATCTGAAACCAAAAAAAAAAAAAAATCAAATAAATAAATAAAACAGAAGCAGCAAAACAACAACGTCAAAAAGAAATTCAAAACAACAAAAGTCGTGTGATTATCATTCGCATTTCACAACCACCAAAATAATTTAGCAAAATTAATTTCCGTCGCATAAAAATCTTTTCAAAACTGGATTATAATAAATCCGACGATATTGGATCTCTACAGGAAAACAACTCGGGCATAACCAACAAAATGGTTAAACGGTAAGTTTTGCGTTTTTTATTTACTTTCTTCTTTTGTTTGTTTATATATAAAAGTTTTCGTTTTCATTTTGGAGAATTCTTTGGAAAAAAAAGTAAAAAAGCTGTAAGTTCGGCTGGACCGAACTTTGAATACCCTCCACCATTTGGTACAAATTTGGCAATTTTCAAAAAAATATAATCCATTAAAAATTCTGTTAAAGTCTTAAAAATACCGAATGAAGCCGGGTCTATTAGGGTCTATACGATGACGTGGACCTGCATAGGCAACTTTTTTTTATAAACTATTATGATATTCAAATGCTAAACTTAAAAAAAAAATTGTTTACAATGTAGCTAAAATCATCAAAATACCGAATATAGGGAGGTACCATGGGGGCTATAAAACGTGGACCTGCACAGACAATTTTCTGTCGTAGGCTGTAGTTTCCATTACGAACTTTAAATACGAAATTTGAAACAATTCCGGTAAAAAATGTCGCTAAAATCATCAAAATACCGAATATCGGGGGTACCCTTATATGGGGGCTACACGAAGACATAGACCTGTACAGACAATTTTCTGGCATAGGCTGTACTATCCATTACGAACTTCAAATACGAAATTTGAAACAATTCCGGTAAATAATGTCGCTAAAATCATCAAAATATCGAATATCGGAGGGTACCGTTATATGAGGTCTATACGAAGACGTGGACCTCCATGACCGATTTTCTGTCTTAGGCTGTAGTATCCATTACGAACTTCAAATATCCAATTTGAGACAATTTCGGTAAATAATGTCACTAAAATCATCAAAATACCGAATATCGGTGGTACCGTTACTTGTTACTGAGCTAAGGGATATGGCTGGAATCCTGAAATTTGATATTGAGGTCTCTGTTAGTATCTTTAATTGAGATATGGAAGCAGTCTTGAAATTGTGTACTAAAATTGTACGAAAACCAGTAAAGAAAGTCCTTAAGTCGGGCGGGGCCGACTTTATGATACCCTACACCACTTTGCTAATTTAGTAGAGCTCCGCATAACAATTAAAAGTTTTTATGGGAGAATTCAATCATACACGCTATGAGTATAATTATAATTTAAAGTTCAAAGGACTAAATACGCCGAAGCATTTGTATTTTTTAAATTCGGACTTGTATTGCACATTTGGTGCACAATTAATATGAAATCGGATAATGATATATATGGGAGCTATATACAAATCGGAACCGATCTCGACAAAATTTGGCAAAGATATTTCTGAGCTGTATTTGATATATTTCCCTGAATATCGTTGTTACGGAGTGCATATTACGGCTGTGGGTAACAAATACTACAAATTGGATGAACAAAATATATGGGAGCTATAGCTATATGTGAATCGATCTTCACCAAATTTGACATACTAGCTTCTAGACTCAATTCGGTCGAAAGTGCCAAATTCCATCCCATTTGGACAAATATTAGACGTTTGGTGCTCAATAAAAGGTAAATCGGACGAAGGTATATAATATGGGAGCTATATCCAAATCTGAACCGATCTTGATAACATTTGGCAAAGATATTTCTGAGCTGTATTTGATATATTTCCCCAAATATTGTTGTTACAGAGTGCATATTACGGCTGCGGAGGACAAAAATAACAAATCGGATGAACAATATATAAGGGAGCTATAGCTATATCTGAATCGATCTTCACCAAATTTGACATACTAGCTTCTAGACTCAATTCGGTCGTAAGTGCCAAATTCCATCCCATTTGGGCAAATATTAGACGTTTGGTGCACAATAAAAGGTAAATCGGACGAAGCTATATATATGGGAGCTATATCAAAATCTGAACCAATCTCGATAAAATTTAGCAAATGTATTTCTAAGCAGTAATTGATTTATTTCCCCAAATATTGTTGTCACAGAGTGCATATTACGGCTGCGGAGGACAAAAATAACAAATCGGATGAACAATATATATGGGAGGTATAGCTATATCTGAATCGATCTTCACCAAATTTGACATACTAGCTTCTAGACTCAATTCGGTCGTAAGTGCCAAATTCCATCCCATTTGGACAAATATTAGACGTTTGGTGCTCAATATAATGTGAATCGGACGAAGCTATATATATGGGAGCTATATCCAAATTTGAACCGATCTTGATAAATTTTAGCAAATGTATTTCTGAGCTGTATTTGATATATTTCCTCAAATATTGTTGTTACAGGGTGCATATTACGGCTGCGGAGGACTAAGAGAACACATCGGATGAACAATATATATTGGAGCTATAGCTGAACCGATTTCGATTTGGCATACTTATTTGCAGGCCCAATCTGGTTGTATGTGCAAAATTCCATACAATTCGGGCTGACATTACACGTTTGGAGGACAATAACAGGCAAATCGGACGAAGATGTATATGGGAGCTATAGCTAATTTTTTACCGATTATCTCCAATTTCGATAGTGTTAGTCCTTGGGCCAAACAAATGATTTGTGCAAAATTTCATCTGGATCGGATAATAAATGCGAACTGTACTTTGTTCACAAAAATACATGGACAGACGGACGGGCATGCATAAATCGACTCAGAATGTGATTCTATGCAGATCATCAAAAGGAACTATAGGTCTATCTCGTTTCCTTTTGCCTGTTACAAACAAATGTACAAAGACAATACCCTGACCACTTTGTGGTGTAGGGTATAATAAGTGGGGTAGAACCCGGTAACATCGAGTCTGTTAAACTGTCACGGTCATTTCATTAGGTGCATTGATTAAAAATTCTATCTAAAGCCAGTAAGGAAAAATCAAAAGTCGGGCGGGGCCGAGTATATGATATCCTATACCACAATGCATATTTAGTACTGCTCCTGTAACAAAAGAATTTATTTCAAGTAGATCATTGCACCTATCAACATTTGGCTTTAGAGCAGTTCGATTTCAGAGGGATTTAATATATAGGAGACATATCCAATTCTGAATCGATTTTCAATAAATTCATATACCAAATTTAATACCATATAACAGTGCCTTATATCACTTCGAGAAGGATTATCTAAAAAAAATATATATCGGAGCCGAATGCCACAAAATGGAAACGTACGTCCCGAAATTCACTCCATCTGGGATGATTTTAGCCATTATTTGCACAGTAAACCTGAAATTGGTTGAAGATATATATGTTAGCTATATCCAAATCTTTGCCGATCTCGATAAAATTTGCAAAGGTATTTCCGAGCTCTATAAGATGTCTGGTAGCAAATATCACCAAAACACCAAACGGATGAAACATATGAAAGTCAAACGCCATAATTTTTACATTTTTTTTTTTAAATTTCATTGAATGCAAGCCAAAATTGTCGGAAATAGCATCAAATTTCAGAATAAGTTCAGATTTGTTCGAGTGGGTCACCTTTGGTACGAATTATGGCCTTCAAACGGCCAATGAAACCTTCACACGCTGCTCGAATGTTGCTCTGCGGTATTTTGGCCCATTCCCGGCGAAGCGCTTGCTTGAGGTGATCGTCGCTTTGGTATTTTTTAGTACCAACCTTGCTTTCCAAAATACTCCAGACACAATAGTCCAACGGATTAGTATCCGGAGATATTGGTGGCCATGGTGCACTGGTAAGCGAGGAACCTTATTTTGTAACGATTCATGGGTGGCGCGTGCTGAGTTCGATGGTGCTGAGTCCTGTTGGAATGTCCAACAAGTCTGCGTCAAAATGTTTGCATGCCCAAGGCTTTAATACGCCCTCCAGAATATTTTCGCAATAATATTCAGCATTTATTCTGATGCCACGGTCGATTAACACGAACGGAGAGCGACCATTGGCTGTTATGGCAGGCCACACCATCACCATGGCCAGCGCTTGAGTTCTGGTGGCCAACCGAAAGTGCACATTTTCAGCTGACCTCTTTGGCAAGCAAACACGATCATAAGTTTGAAGTTGGTTACGGGTTTGTTAACAAACTACTGGACAACGAATGTTTTCTCATCGGAGAAAACCAAATTCGGCAGTTCACCACTTTCGGCCAAGCGAAGCAACTCTTTAGCTCTTTGGAGTCTATTTTCTTTCTGTTGCGGTATAAGTTCTTGCACGTTTTGGAATTTCAATGACTTTACCCCGAGCTCTTTCTTCAATATTTGTCGAATGGAATATTGCGATATGTCCAGCTCACGAGCCATTTTTTCGTCCACTGCGACGTGGGTTTCGATCAAGTCGCTACTTCTTTACTTTTCGAACCATTTCTGCTGATGTGGCTGTTTTCTTCCGTCCACTTCTTTGACGACGGGCTACGCTACCAGTATCACGGTAACGAGCGATGGTACGAGACACAAAAGATTTATTCACATTTAAATGCTGGAGTGCTCTAACGATAGCCACTCGGGGTTTTCCAGCCAAATATAAAGAAATCACACTATCACGCTTGAATTCCATTACGAATGGCATTTTTTCTGGAAAATTCTCACCAAAATGCTTTTGTACGGCCCTAAACAATATAATTATCTGTAACTGGAATAATTTTAACTGCTGTCGGACGAGTGGGTTAGAAATGACAGCCCTCGGAAGTTACAGTTTTCACATCTCTTGACCTTCTTTTATAGAATTGCAGTAGGTGGTCTTATCGGAGAAGATGGCCTTCTTTTATTGAAGATTATGAAATTCGAGCATAAAAGAGGAGACATGTGTAACGGCAAGTTTCCATCGCTAAGTAAATTAAATAGAGGGTGCAAGTTCACCACTCTTCGTATTTTTTTTTAATTTTTTTTTTGGATTAAGATTCTTTGGAATCCTTGCATTTTATGTATACTCTTTGGGAAGTCCTTCTTAAAAATTATGCTCAAATTCCCATCTCCCCCTGCATTATGTTGTTTTCGATCCAAATCATTATCACTTATTGCCTGGCCGTCCTATCTTCCCGCATCCAAAGGCCTGTTGTGTGATAACTGTTCACGTGAAACATCGCAACTACGCAATGCATTCCTCCTCCCAAAAAAAAGCGACACAAAATAG